CTCTCTCTCTCTCTCTCTCTCTCTCTCTCTCTCTCTCTCTCTCTCTCTACGAGGCTGGCAATAAATAATAGAGTTATAATGACGGTACTACTAGCAGTGTTCTGTGACCAGTGCGGAAGGAAGAGAGTATGTGCATGCTTTGCAGTCGATTAATCGCGCCATGATTTGACACACCGCTGCTCAGCACTCTTGTTAATTGCACCTTGTTCTCTCTAGCTCTTTTCGTGCACCATGATTCCCACTGCGTGCAAGCTGACCTACCACACCGATGGCTGATTGGACTTAAGCAAACAAGCACTGCCACAGTGCTTCCATGATGTTGGGCGGCGCAAGTGTCAGATGGCCAGAAAAAGTAGAGCACCTCTACCCATATGATCTGAGAAAGAAAGGCCAATTTCACTAGTCAACGATTGGCAATGGAAAATTGACAGACGCTCTCCCTTTCCAGCGCACATAGATTAGCCATATTGGGTGAATGTGTCATCGGTGCATTCATTGGACCAATTGAGCCTGTTGAAATAATGCACAAAAGTCACCCGCAGGTCAATTAGCAGCATCGTGTTTGGTGCAGTGCACTGTGTACAAGCAAACGGTTACGAGGTGCTCTTGCTGGCAGCACATTTTGCATGCCAGAGCTGCAACGGCACACTGAGCTCACAATACGCCCATGTTAAAAATAAATTACGTCACGTAAACATGACAGGCCAGAGAAGGAAAGTGATGCGCACAGGGAAGGGGCAACACAAAATTTTGGCTCGAGTGCAATTGGTGATAGTAGTGGTGGTGGTGGTGGTGATGGCAATTCTGGCAACAGCCGACAGAACTTTGCTGCACTTTGACTCGAGCAAGTAAAGTAATGAATGAATGGATGGTTAAAAGAGACATGACGCGCAACACATGACCAGACGATTGGCCAACTGAAAGAGCAGAGCTGTCAGCGAGACACGTCCGAGCCACATTGGCGCAAAGGCCAACTGTCAGTGGAGAGATGGTGTAATGGCACCATCGGCGCTAGGTGCAGCTAGTGCAGGATGCAGAGGAATGCGCTCAATTGGTGTTAATAATCAGCATTTGATTGGCACCTCCACTGGCATCGGCACACTGTTTCGCTAATCAACTCGATGTGCCATCGGTCAGTGTTCAGCCAACTCACTCGTCTGTCAGCGTCGCTTTTCTTTCAACAAGTTTTACACGGCCAATATTCCGTCAAACAATAATGGCGTCAAGTGTCCATCGAGGCCAGCTTAGCCACACACGCACACTTTCTCAGTCTGGAGATGAGCAGACAATCATGCGAAGCAAGACTGACTAAGAAAAGTCAGCCGTTCCCCCTTCTCCAAACTGGCACCAAAAGAGCATAAATGTAAATCGAGTAACGGCTTCATTCGTTCTTTATCTCAAGCATAATATCTCGCCCTCTGAAAGCAAATGCAGCAAACACAGTCTGAAGGACGTAAGCAACAAGAAGAAGAAGACAAGACAAGACAAACTCACAAGTAATGGCAGCGTGCAACAGCATGAGATAGCGTTTTGCCACAACCGAGCTGAAAAGCCGAGAGACTGTGCTCGTCTATTTGAATGGGGAGCTCATTGAGATGGCCTGTCGCCTACTACTGTAGTACAGCTGCCAGCTGAACCTAAATTGGCACTGGTGAGACCGCCAGCCAGCCGTCGGTGAACCAGCACCACACTTGGTGAACACCAGCACCAGCAACAACAAACACACCACAAATGGGCAAACAAATTGTAGAGCAAAAGTAGCCTTGCTGTTTAAGTGGGTTCAAATGCCAACAGTTCGACCACCAGTAGCTGACTTGAGCACAGAGACCTAATCGATGGCGAATCATTGTCAGTCTCCTCAGCTGCGAACTACTTCATCATCATCATCATCAGCTACGACTGCGGCAGGCACGGTATATCATTGTTGTTGTTGCTGCGTCTCGGCGTCACAGCTGATGTACGCGGCAAAGGTACTTCTCCTAGTGCACTGCACAATCATCGGAGAGAAAAAGAGAGGGGGAAGAGAACACAATGAAAGACTGACTCTTCCGAGTGCTGTTGGCCAACTGGCGTGCACGTGCATGACAACAAACAAAAAAGATGGAATGTGCCTGTTGCTGAAGAGTGCTTTCAAATATTGTAAAGTGCTAAGCTACTGCCACCACAATTAATGAGCATCGCAATCAAAGGGGCTGGAAAATGAAAGCAGACTGCATCAGGATGTACTACAAGAGCAGCGAGGCTGTTTCATCATAAATTAGCCTCCTAGGTGCTGTCGGAGGCAGTGAACCAAGGCAAAGCACCTAAAGGTCTCCAGGAAGTGTAATTACTTTAAAGAATCGACGTGATTCACTAAAAAATGTAAAAGGGCAAAAGTGCACAGTGGCTATTAAAGGATCAGGAATCATTTCCGCCCAGTGAGATCAGTGACACGAGTCGAGATTAGCGTTACTATCGCATTAACGTGAGATTAGGCTAAATAAGCTGTTGCTGCTGGAGAGTTGCGCTAGCTGGTGTATTAATGTAAAGCACAGTGAAAGCAAAAGTGCAACAGGACGCACTACTTGGCTTGGCAGATTTCTGCTGACACTGCAGCAGTGCGGTGACAAAAGTCCCGCTGCTCACTCATCTCTGCAGCAAAGCCTGTTGATTGCAGCGTTGGAACTGTAGTGGTGGTGGTGGTGGTGGTGGTGGTGGTTGGCACTGCCATCACTACTCTGCCACTACTCGTCGATTCTACAGTAGATCTGATTCGATGCGCCCGGAGAGTATTTGAAAATATGAAGCAATCATTCTGGCACATTCTTCACCATCATTCTCCCCTCTATAAATAGTGAGCGTGTCTGCCAGATTTCCTCTCCTTCTTTCCCTTCCCTTCCCTTTCTTACTCTCTGTGCGTTCAATCTTCTCGTGATTGCATTCGATTGTTTCCAGCGCTACTTACTTTACCAATTTATTGCTGCACAAGCAAACACTTGGCTGCCTCTTTATGGCCACTCTTGACACTGCATTCTTGCACTTTTTTCAGTTTGCCCAGTTGCCAAAATAGTCACAGTAGCTGTCAAGTGTCACCAGTGGGCACACATGCTCACTCTGGCTAGTTTATCTCTTCTTGAGAGTAGGAAAACATTGGCTTATTGGATGCCATGTTATTCTCGCTGGCACCAGCCTCACTAGCCTCAAAACTGGTCGATAGTGAACGACAGAGGCTGAGAGGGCAATTTTGCATTTCAATGGCCTCGCTGGACCGTTTAATTAGCCATCTGCAGTGAGGCAGCCAGTGCCTCACCACAATTGTGGCCTGCCAATTGTTTACTCAACCCAAGTAGACCTCAAGCATAGTTGTTCCACAGCAATGCCGCCACTGATGAAAGTACCTAATCATCGTTAGATAAATCCACCGTCAGTGTATGATCGACTGCAAGCGACACATGCATTACACCGATTGACAGTAAAGCACTGCACTACTCAAGTTGTGGCAATCGAGCCGTCTCGAGTGTTGTCTCGAGAGGGCTTGTATCGCGTGTACAATGCCAATGCTGTACGGAAACAATGCTTGCGAGAGGGGGAAGGAAGAGAGCGCGCAATTGAAAGATAAAATCAATTTGCAAGGATCCTCGCCCATCTTAGAAGAGCGGTGGTGGTCTTTGAGCAAAGGAGCACGACGAGCACCGTCGAGCATCCTCGCCCAGCTCGTCAATCTACCTCTCTGCCATGACAGCTGTGACTCTACCTTGTGTTTGCTCTACCACAGTGCCGTTCTTCTCGCGCTGACTTTGACGACTCATTCGCAGAAAACCAGCTCAAATACTCGAGTCTTTTTCTGATTAGAAAACAAATTCCTGTAAACTGGCACACTTGCTCAGTGTGCACTCCCTCAAAGCTGCTCCTGTGACCAAGTCTTGCTTGGAGCACTACTAGCCCAGTGACGCATAACTGCTTATCAGGCCGGAAAGAAGACACTAGACTCCCCGTGGATTAGGTTACACACATAGTGCACAGCACAACACAGCACACGACACGGACCGTTACACCGGTAACCGGTGCTCTGCTTGCTGACTCGCTCTTCCAACTGTAATTAATTGCGGTCACTTACCCATTTTAGAAAATCAGAAATTGTATATTGTAAAATAGCTGCAGTAGTTGAGTTGAATTCCGACAACGGGGAGGAAGGGGAGATGAGGCCCACTTTGGCCGGTGAGGAACCAGAACCAGGGGAAGAATCAAAGGCAGAGAAGGTAAACAGAGAATAGCACAGAAAGAAAGAGAGGCACAGTGGGCACCGGAGGAAGCAAGTGAAGGCAGTGATCACATACACACACAC